CTCCTCCTCCTCCTCCTCCTCCTCCTCCTCCTCCTCCTCCTCCTCCTCCTCCTCCTCCAGCTCTGCCATTCTCTTTTTCGTCTCGCGCCACACGGTTGTCAGCGTGATCCTTTTGGAAGGCCCGGAGGGCACGTGGAACCGTTTTGGGGCGGTCTGGGGGCCTCTTCGGGCCATGTCGGAGCTTATCCTAAGCCACATTGGAACAGCGTGGCCCATCTTGGAGACCAGCTTGCACCACCTGGGGCCCTCTTGAAACCATCTCGGGTAATCTTGGACGCTCTGACCCTTCGGGCCTCCCCCCCCCCGTCCAGACCCAGGGGAGGGGTGAGGGGGAGGGGTCAAGACACCCTCCCCGCTCCCGCCCGCACTCCCACCCGCACCCGAGCCTCAGCGTGTTCAGCGGTTGTCTATGGATGGGCAGCTACTTGGAACTAAAAACAGACCCCTTGTGCGCGATGCTGGGACGAGGTGCGCCACGCGTGCCAGGCGCGCCACGTGCGCCGGGCCCCCCTGGTGCCCAGGAGTGCTGGCGCGCCAGTGTCGCCACGTGCTCCACGGGCGCCACATGTCTTGGCAGCGCTCGGCCGTGTGCATTGTTTCTCAGCGAGGGCCATCGAGGAGCATTTCTGTCCACCTTGAAAAAATATGCACGCACGAAACCGAAGAATGCACAGGGAGTGGACGTCCGAACGATGGCGAGCGCGCGCCGCATACTGCAGCCGCGCCAGGTGCGCCAGGTTCTGGGCACGCGCAAAGGGTGCCAGGTGTGCCCGCGCACGCGACACCACGCATCGGGGAACATGACGGCCCCCACCGTCCGTATCGCAAACCAATGCACAATCGCGACGAGGTGGCCATCCTGGTGTCTGGCGGGCCTGCACACAGCAGGCAATATGCCAGCACCCCCGCCGCCTTTTTCAAAAACCAATGCAAAGTGACCGCGGGGCGGTCGCGCATGATCCGGATTTAGCAGCGTAGTGCATCTTGTATTGTTCCACACATGCTGAGTGGGGTTCCTGTTTTCCTAGAACACCCTCTCCTTCTCCTCCTCCTCCCCCTCCTCCTCCTCCTCCTCCTCCTCCTCCTCCTCCTCTACCGTACCTGCCACCTCATACCATACCTACCATACCATACCTACCATACTACCCTTACCAAGCCATACCATACCATACCATACCATACCATACCATACCATACCTGTCAGATCATGCCCTACTATACCATACCTACCAGACCATACTATACCATACCTACCATACCATACCACACCTACCATACAACTGCTACAATACAATGCCTACCACTCCAGGGAGGCCACGCCAGCGAGGCCACTCCAACTCCCACTCCTCCAGGGAGGCTCCGCCTGAGCGAGGAGGGTATTCGTAAACTTTGTCATTTATCAGGCTTCGTGCCCCTCCCACTCCTCCAGGGAGGCCCCCGCCTGAGCGAGGAGGGTATTCGCAAACCATGCCATTTGTCAGGTTTCGTGCCCCTCCCACTCCTCCAGGGAGGCCCCGCCTGAGCGAGGAGGGTATTCGTAAACTTTGTCATTTATCAGGTTTCGTGCCCCTCCCACTCCTCCAGGGAGGCCCCGCCTGAGCGAGGAGGGTATTCGCAAACCATGCCATTTATCAGGTTTATTGCCCATCCCACTCCTGCAGGGAGGCCCCGCCTGAGCGAGGAGGGTATTCGCAAACGATGCTATTTATCAGGTTTCGTGCCCCTCCCACTCCTCCAGGGAGGCCCCGCCTGAGCGAGGAGGGCATTCGCAAACAATATTATTCGTCAGGTTTCGTGCCCCTCCCACTCTTCCAAGGAGGCCCCGCCTGAGCGAGGAGGGTATTCGCAAACCATGCTATTTATCAGATTCATGCCACCCCCACATCTCCAGGGAGGCCCCGCCTGAGCGAGTAGGGTATTCGCAAACGGTACTATTTATTAGGTTTCGTGCCCCTTCCATTCCTCCAGGGACGAACGTGCTTCCTGAACAGCAGTCGTCTTCCTCCCTGCTGTTCCCCCTCCTTGCCTTCGTCTGCCGTTTCTTTTGCACGTACCTTTGCGATGGCCCTTCCATTCGTATTTGTTCCCTACCTAGGCTCTGCCTAGAAGGGTTCTTACTCTGTTGGCCTAACGGGGCCGGGCAGTGTAACCCGCCCCGGGCGGTTCCCCCGGTCCCCTGGGGGCCAAGCAAAAGCAACAGCAAAGGTAATAGCAAACGCGCGGTTCCCCCAGTTGCGCTCCCTGGGTGCCAAGCAAAAGCAAACGCAAAGGCAAAAGTGAGGGCAAAAGCGAAGGCAAAGCAAACGCATAGCATAGCATAGCATAGCATAGCCTAGCCTAGCCCATCATAGCATTGCGCAGCATCGCATAGCATAGCAGAGCAGAGCATAGCATAGCAATAGCATAGCGCAGTACAGCATCCACGATTGCTGCTGTTACAGTGGATGCTGTGCTGCTGTACTACTACTACTACTACTACTACTACTACTACTACTACTACTACTACTACTACTACTACTACTACTACTAGTACTAGTACTACTACTACTATTATTATTACTACTACTACTACTACTACTACTACTACTACTACTGCTACTCCTACTACTACTACGATTACTTCTACTACTATTACTACTACTACTATTACTACTACTACTACTACTACTACTACTACTACTACTACCACCACTACTACTACTACTACGACGACTACGACTACGACTACGACTACGACTACGACTACTACTACTACTACTACTACTACTTACTACTACTACTACTATACTAATATTTATACTACTACTACTAAGACTACGACTACGATACGACTACGATACGATACGATACGGAAACGGAATACGATACGATACGATATACTACTATACCTCCTACTACTACTACTACTACTACTACTACTACTACTACTACTACTACTACTACTACTACTACTACTACTACTACTACTACCGCTACTGCTACAACTACGACGATGAGGAGAAGGAGGACGGCGTTTACTGCTCCTACTAATGTTGCTTTCCTAGAGGCTCCAACTCCTAGGTAGGGTCGCACTGGGATAATTTTATTATCTTGCCTCATTGACCCCACGAAGCCCTCAACATCCTTATGTGGGAATCTCTGTTAGCATAATTTGTTGGCACGGACGTTGGCCCTACGCACGGCAGGCAATATGATACCCCCCCGCCGTCCCTGTCAAACAAATTTCTGGGCGAAGGACCCAACCATACGCAGTTGTGAGTACCGCGTCGTGGGTACCGCTTTCGGTGGAGCTCCCTATGGGGCCACGAACCATGTGAGGAGTGTGCCGGAATGGGGCGGCGGAGCCATGCGGACCTTGCCACTGAGGCTTTCGGTGGAGTCCCTATGGGGCCATGAACCGTGTGAGGGATGTGCCCGATGAGCCGCAATGGGGCGGCGGTGCCATGCGGACTTTGCCACTGGTGCCTTCGGTGGAGCTCCCTATGGGGCCACGAACCGTGTGAGAGGTGTGCCGAAATGGGGCGGCAGTGCCATGCGGACCCTGCTACTGGGGCCTTCGCTAGAGCTTCCTGTGGAGCCACGAACCGTGTGAGGGGTGTGTCGAAATGGTGCGGCGGTGTTATGCGGACCCTGCCACTGGGGACTTCGCTGGAGCTCCCTATGGGGCCACGAACCGTGTGAGGGGTGTGCCGAAATGGGGCGGTGACGGCATTCGGACCCTTCGGTGGAGCTCCCTATGGGGCCACGAACCGTGTGAGGGGTGTACCGAAATCGGGCGGCGATGCCATACGGACCCTGCCACTGGGGCCTTCGGTTGAGCTCCCTATGGGGCCACGAACCGTGTGAGGGGTGTGCCGACATGTGGCGGTGGTGCCATGCGGACCCTGCCACTGGGGCCTTTGGTGGAGCTCCCTATGAGGCCACGAACAGTGTGAGGGGTGTGCCGGAATGGGGCGGCAGTGCCGTTCGGACCCTGCCCATGGGACCTTCGGTTGAGCTCCTTATTCGGGGCCACGAACCGTGTGAGGGGTGTGCCGAAATGGGGCGGAGGTGCCATGCGGACTTTGTCACTGGGGCCTTTGCTGGAGCTCCCTATGGGGCCGGGAACCGCGACTATGATGACGACGACGATGCTGCTGCTGCTGATGATGATGATGATGATGATGATGATGATACTGATGCGGATGATGATGATGATGATGATGATGATGATGATGATGATGATGATGATGATGATGATGATGATGATGATGAGGATGTTGAGGATGATGATGATGAGGAGGAGGAGGATGATGACGATGATGATGATAATGATGATGATGATGATGCTGATGATGATGATGATTTTTCCTCGACGTCAGGACCAACATCTGGTATCAGGATATGGTGTACAATGAAACCAGATTTAAAGTGATCCGTCGCAGAGAGCCGACTGTCTCGTGTTGCCCCGCTTGGGCCAGACTGCCAGGGTGCTGCTCGGAGGGGCCTCCTGCGCAGCGCGTGCCAAGCAGCGTCGAAATGCTAGCTGAGATATTCGGCCGCTTCTTCTTCGGCGGTTGTATCATGCTCAGGTGGGGCCTCCCCCTCACACTGCTCCTCTGGATGTGCTGGCACGGCAGGGGGGGAGTGGAGGCACGACGGAGGAGGGAGGGTATGTGGCCGGCCGTGACCGTGCCGCTGTTGGCAGGGAGGTCTTTGCCTCGAACGAAATTGACGCGGCGTTGAAACGCCTCCTCTCCGCTGTGGCCTGCATTGTGGCCTGCAGGCTCGCTCTGGCAGAAAAAACGGGTTCACTGCTCGAGCGTCTCTAGCCTCCTCCTCGAGCCAGCCCACTGGGCCCACGTCTCGGTGGTGGACCGCCTGGCCCTCGGCCTCGAGGGCGCGGCTGATCAGGATTTGGCCCTCCCACATGGGCGCGCCTAGCGCGCCGATCACCAGCTTCGTCTTGTCGTGGTCGTAGCACTTTTCCAGGCGCACGAAGTTGATGGCGTCGAGGATATCTTCCTTGCTGATCTCCGTCTCCGCCTCGATGTCCTCGATGGTACCCTTCATGGAGCCGCCCACGTCGCACTTGTACAGTCCTTCTAGGGCCGTCAGCGCGCGGGACGGAGCTGGCGACCCTATCCCCTGCAGGCATTTCTTGTCCTCTGGGGGGCCGCTCTTCCTGAGGGAGTCCATAATGTGCTTGTAGCTTTCGTGCTCCTGCGTGATGGCATCTACCTGCTTGCCATGCTCGTCGTAAATGTCTAACTGCATGATCTTGATGTTCCGTTCGGCCTTCTTCGTAGCCCCGTGAATGCCCAGTGAGGCCAGGGTGTCCTGCTTACCGATGTTCTGTGCGTGTTGAGTTCCATTCTGTATGAGTCCTATCCTCAGATACAATCGCCATAAATGGTCGAAACAGTGAGATAAACGTACGCATGCATGAATGTCCTGAATCACATTGCCAGTGGGGCTTTTTCCTTTTTTGCCGATGTCGAAAGTCTGGATGATGGTGGAGCTGACGTCGTGATCGATCTCGAGCTTCCGTCGACTGGGGTGATAGACTCGCTCAGCGAGCGGGTCCGCGTATTGATAATCTGCAGTGTCATGTCCCATTCCTGCCCTTTGAACACCAGTGCGCATCAGGTGCTGTAGGGTGAGTAGCATGATGGTGAGTTCGATGGGCCTTGAAGAGAAGTGGGTGGGTCGTCGGACTGGAAATTGATGATCAGGGCGCTCGTCACCAGGGTCACGTTCATGTCGACCTTTAAGTCCAGGTGGCAATTCAAGTCCAGCGTGCAGTTGTTCCACTGGTGGCGGTTCAGGTGCAGCGTGGTGTAGTCCTGCACGTACTGGCCCTCTGTGTTCGTGAAGACGTTGAAATTGAAGTTCATCGTCCATTCGTCCAGGGTCAGCGTGTCGTACTCCTGCATGTGCTGGCCCTCAATGTCCGTGAAAAAGTTGGAATTGACGCTCAGCGTCCAGTAGTCCTTCGCGAGCTGGGTGTGTAGGTAGTGGTCCAGCGTCCAGTAGTTCGGGGTCAGCGTGTCGTATTCCTTCATGTGCTGGCCCTCTGTGTTCATGGAGAAGTAGTTCAGCGTCCAGTCCCGCACGTACTGGCCCTCTGTGTTCGTGAAGATGTTGACCTTGACGTTCAGCGTCCAGTCGTTCAGGGTCCGCGTGTCGTAATCCTGCATGTGCTGGCCCTGTATGTTCGTGATGATGTTGGGATTGATGCTCAGCGTCCAGTAGTCCTTCGCAGTGTGGGTGTGGGGGTAGTAGTCCAAGTGGCAAGTCACGTTCAGCGTGCAATTGTTCCACTGGTGGCAACTCATGGGCCGCATGGTGTGGTCTTGCCTGTGCTGGCCCTCTGTCTTCGTGAGGATGTTGTTGTTGAAGCTCAGCGTCCCGTAGTTCAGGGTCAGCGTGTCGTAATACTTCAGCATCGGCATCGTCGTCTGGCTGGTGGTCAGGTGCTTGGGCCATGCGCTCGTCCATGTTCCTGATGTCAGCGAGCGAGTCCTGTGCTTAGCAGGTGCGCGGCGCCCGCGCTCCGGAGCACGTCCATGGCGGCATGGCGGTGTGCGGGGTATCGTCAAGAGGCCCCCTGCCTTTCGGGCAGGGCGAGGGGGCGGTGACTGGAGGCCGCTGCTCCATCAATGGCCTGAGCGCGCGGCGGCCTTCTGATGATGATGATGATGATGATGATGATGATGATGATGATGATGATGATGATGATGATGATGGGAGGCAGGGATGGGAGGAGGGAGGAGAGGGCATTAGGAGGAAGGAGGAGACGCGGGACGCTGTCTCTTTAGGACGAGGAACCAACACCACAGAATGGTTGGGAGCAAGACAAAGTGCTTGTGGGGCCCACGTGCACGACCCAAGACGTTGCCTCGAAGCAAGGGCTCCCTCGAGGGCGCGAAGTTATTCGCGCTTCGCGCTTCGCGGTCCTCGTTCCTCCTCCCCCTCCTCCTCGTCCTCCTTTTCTCCCTTTGGGGGGGCGGCGCGAGAGCGCGAAGTTATTCGCGCTTCGCGCTTCGCGGAGCGCGAAGCGCGAAGTTGGGAGCCCTTGTTTGACAGAGGTTTGGGGGGAGTCTTTGGTCCTGGTTGGCTGCTGGTCGCCTAGGGCAGGGGGTGCTTAATGAATCGGGAGCACTGTGCACACATGCACCAGGCCGTCTCGCTCACTCCCGCCCACCCTCCCAACACGCAAGCAGAAGTGATTCTCAGCACTGGCACGACGACGATCAGGAGCCAGTGCAGACGCCAGCCAGGTGCGCGCGCAGCCCGCGAGGTGCGCGGCACCTGCAGCTGCGCCACGCGCGCCAGGGCCGCCACACTGGGCACTGCCCTGCCACAGTCCCTGCCAAAAGCCAGCCACATGCCGGCGGGGTTGCTGCGTGTGGGCGTGCATCCAGGATCGATTTGGCGCGGGGTTCCTCTCGGTGCGGCCCGAAGACGCCACGCAGCCAAGACGGCGGAAGAAGGAACGCGTTGGGCTCGGAAGGGGCTCGCGGCTCCTGAGGTCCTTCCTGCGGCTGTTCCTCGAGCCCTCCTCGAGTCAACCAGGCGTTGTTGGCGCCGGGGGCTTGGGTTCCCTTTCAGCGTTCCATATGTGAGCGTTTTTTTACTCGGCGTTTTGACGTTGGGCGAAAGGGGCGGGGGGGGAGGGGGGGCCCTGGCTCCGGACCTCTGCTTAATGCGACTGCTTGGGACCGTGCGTCTATGGGGGAGACTCCACCTGCTCGAAACAGGCGCAAAAAAACACCCCAAATCTACTCCACGGGGGGGGGGAGGGGGTGCGGTGCGAGGGCCCGCGCCGATCGGCACAAGAATAAATAAAAAACGCTCACTATCTTAACAGCCCGACTGTAGTGGCAGGAAGGCCTCGCTGACCGTACATCGTTGAGCAGAGCACGCGGCGAAGAAAACACACTTGAGATCAAGTGCATGTTGCTTGCGGGGGGTGGTGGTCGGCGGAGTCCGCGGGGCTCATTTCGACTCCTCCGATCCGACTCGTTCAGACTCCGATGCGATCCGACTTCGGATCTCCGATTTGGACTCCGATTTCTCGGTGGAGGCCTACTGACCTGCCGATGTCCGCCGATTGGACTCCTCCCGGCTCAGCTGCCGATCTCCGCCGATCCGATGCAGGTCGGTTGCCGATCAGACTTATCAGAGTGAGGAGGCCGAACGCTCATTCTTTGTTCCCGGGTGCGTGGCTGAAGTGGGGATCCGCGGAGAGGATTCTGCTCGTTGATTACGACCCACCCCGCGACTCACCCCGCGACTCACCCCGCGACCCACCCGCGACCCACCCCGCGACCCACCCGCGACCCACCCCGCGACCCACCCCGTGACCCGCCTGTGACCCCCCCGCGACCCACCCCGCGACCCACCAGCGACCCACCCCACGACCCACCCCGCGACCCACCCCGCGACCCACCTGCGACCCACCCCGCGACCCACCAAGCGACCCACCCGCGACCCATACGCGACCCACCCGCGACCCATCCGCGACCCGGCCCGCGGCCCACCCGCGACCCACCCGCGACCCACCCACATTTCTTTAACGAAGAAATCGGCGCCTGCCGCGGGCTCACTGCATAATGTGTAAAAGTTAGGCGCCTGCGGCAGGCTTCTTCAGAGCCTCGCAGACTGCGCCCCCCCACTCTTGTCCGCAACTGCGAGATGCACGTGTTCGAGCTTGCGCTCTTCTGCGGAGGGCGGGGCAGAGGGCGTACTTATTGTTTTTAGCTTTCGTTGCAAATTCTTTCACGCCATGGCGTTTGCGCGCGGTCTCGGGCCCAGGGTTTCGGGCAGAGGGCCTCGTTCTCCATCGTCCCTGCGAGCCCTGGTCTCGCATCCGCCGCAGCTTGGTCGATCTTCTGACTCAACACCGTGTCGGAAGAGCACCCCAAGGATGCGAGATTGCAGGGCGGAAACCTCCGTCTCAGAAAAGCAGGGCGGGTATTTCCGCAAAGGTAGGGCGGAAACAGAAACGGCACTCCTCCTCCTCCTCCTCCTCCTCCTCCTCCTCCTCCTCCTCCTCCTCCTCATCCTCGCTCCTCGCTCCTCGCTCCTCGCTCCTGGTTCTCTCGTCGCTCCTCCTCGCGCCCCGCTCCTCGCCACCAACCGTTCCTCAGCCCCCCCCCCCCCAACCGGGGGGCCCGACGGAGGGCCTCCCTCCGGGGGCCATGGGCGCCGCCGACGTCGCCCCAGCAGCCCCGGCCTGCGGCGGGCTTGGGGCGCCCGGCGGTGAGCGCGGCGCCGGGGCCCACGCAACGGGGGCCCACGGGGAGAACGACGCCGACGACGCCGCCGCCGCCGACGCCGCCGCCGCCGCCGCCGCCGACGACGACGGCGGCGGCGGCGACGACGACGACGCCGCCGCCGACGACGACGACGATAACGACGGCGACGGCGGCGGCGACGACGACGACGCCGACGACGACGACGACGACGGCGGCAGCGGCGGCGACGCCGACGGCGACGGGTCTCAGCGCCAGCGGGGGCCCAGCCAGACATGCTCGCGTCATGAAAAATCATGATGGGAGGTGTTTGGGCGTTTTCCCTTCCTCTGCGGCCGCCTTGTTTGTCTCGTTTCCCCTCTTTTGCACGCTGGCCAATTCGCCATTCGGTTGCCCCGAATCGCCACTCGCTGGTGCGGACCGCTTCCACCTCGCCGCCGACGGAACAACAAAACAAGTGTTTGGTGGCCTTTTCCGGTTTCTGAGACCCCCATCGAGTCATAAAAAGATCACGACGACGAGGGGCTTTCGCCATTTTCAGCCTCTGGGGGCCCTCACCCGGCCTCGGGACCGTCAGCAAAACGACCAACGACTCAGGATGGAAAACCGGTTCCGGGGGAATGGCTCGAGACCTCTGGGGGTCGACGCTATGCGCAATGCGAACTTACCGCGTTGCAGATGTTCGTTGTTCTTGCGTTCCGTTGCACCGTGGCTCCGAGCGCCCCGTGGCTCGCGGCTCCATGGTCCCGTGTCGGCCCGTGGTTTCTCGGCATCCTGGCCCGTGACCTCAGTGGCCGCGTGTCCCCGCAATGACGCGGCGCGCGGCGCCGCGGCGCAGTTGCGACGGGGCCGGTCGCGAAAGCCTTGCGATGCCAAATGGTGGCGCTCAATCCGCTCGTTGGCCTCGGGTTCAGAGAGAACATGACGCTGGTTATGACATCCCCACAGAACGCATGGCACGGACACGAGTTTGCTGGGAACGCATGGCCACGGCCATGATGGCACAGACACCGAGTTTGCCGGGAGCACCTGGCACTGGCCAGGAGTTCCGCGAGAACACATGCCAAGGATCAAGAAATCCTCCTTGCACCCCAGAGTCACAATCGACAACAGCAGTTATCGAAATCTCTATGGGATTCGCGTGGGCATGAGTTCTGCGAGAACGCATGGCCAGGTCACGCAGTTCCCCGAGGCCCATGCGCACTTTTCAGACACCCCCCTTCCCCGCCCCCCTCCCGCCTTCCCCCCCTGCCTCCCCCCCCCCCCTCCCGTCGCTCCACCCCCCGTCCCGGGCTGCCTCCTCGTTCCCGTGGCCCCTGGGGCGCCTCGTGGCCCATGGCGCGCGGCCCGTTGCTCGTGGCCCGTGGCCCGCGGCCCGTGGACTGCTGGCCGTGGCCCGCGCCCCCGTTGCCCAGTGGCCGCGGCCCGTGGCTAACGCCCTGTCGCCAGTGTTTGGGCCGTCGAGTCCAGCAGGTGCCCTGCGGCAGGTAATTGTCCAGTAACGCGCGTCGTCACGGCTACGAAATGCTCGGGATCTGGGCCGCGGGGGTTGCGACAACACGATCAGGTCGGCTGGATTGCGAGGTTTTGAACCAGGCCTAGGACTTTCGTGCGACTTCGTCCCGATGTTCTCTTGTGGCTATTTGTTCTTCCTCTTCCTCTCCATGTTTACGTTCCTCCAGGTTCTAACTTTCGTTCACTTGTTCCTGATGTACAACTCGTGGGGCGTCCAATAACAACTCGTTGATCGACCTACGCGCGCGCGTTTTCGATTCAGTTCGTAGCGGCTGGCCTCTGGTTGTGTTTCGATTGGCGTGCATTCGCGTTGCTTGCGACCGGGCCGCAATCTGGCTGGCCGGCTTTGGTTCTGAACCGATGATCATGGCGGCCAGCGGGCTTCTATGATATCCGATTGCGCTCGCGCGAGCGAGGCCCTGCGAGCTGTGCGCAGCACTTGCCTCGAGCCATAATACCCCCCCCTCTTCGTCGCCCCCCTCCGTTGCCGCTCCCGATATTTGACGGTTTTGCGGCCCCGCGAGGGCCCCAGAGGCCGAAAAAAAAATGAATCTGGCCCTGGTACATGTTGGCATTGCTGGGCATTGCTTGGCATTGCTTGGCAGGGGCGAGGAACCCGGGGACCCCCCGTGGAACGGGCGATGTAAAAATACGAGGCACCGGGGGCGATCCAGGGAACC